AAGCCCAGGATGCAGCAACAGTGTCCCCTCATCATATTGACTGGGAAAATGTTAAAATTGCTAATTCACAGAGAAAAACACTATAAGGGCTGCCTCACTGTAAGATCTAAAGTGTCTCCAAAACTTAAAGCTTTCTGTGTGGTAGGTTCTGGCCTGAAAACTGTTTTTGTAATAATGAAGGGGATTTTGAGAACGGGAGTACATAATCTACATCTGGTGAGTCAGACTTCACAAACAAGAAAACAGATTCTGGAGAAAAATAATGACACGAAAAGCCCCATGTCACAGGATTGGTTTGTTACGTATCAAACCACAGATGTCTGAATCCGTGTTTTTGAGGCGGTTATCAGTACACTGCAGATTCATGATAAAAATGCTCAGCCATTGCAGTTACTACCTATTTCTGTCATACAATGTCTTTCAGCACATTAAAAAACAACAATAACAAATGGGTATGTTAACAAGGTGAAAAACACCACAGGGGGTCTTTAAGACTTTTCAAGATTTTCTGCCCATTAGGTGCAGAAAGGAATGATGTTGGTGTCATCAGATCTAAATGACTTTACATTCAAGCACATTAATCGTTGGCCTTATCACACCACAGAAAAGGGAAGTGAAAATCTGAGCTGCCATTTTCATGCTACAGTAGTTCTCACCTGGGGCCAAAAATATTTAGCTGCAAGGAGTCATTTTCAGGGTACAGAGGAAGCGTTTACCTCAGCCTGCTGCCTCACAGCGTCACCCCGGACCTGCAGGCTGCCTACGTGGAGTAAATAAAACGCTACAGCTCGGGCTCAGGACTGGAAATGTGAAGCCCGATCATTTATAATCTAATCAGCGGCACAACGTGATAGCAACGGCTCTGATGACGTCTCTCGGTCACGCTGGAGCATCTCACCATAAATCATCGCCAGCCCGGTTTCGTGCAGGAACCTGAACCTGCGGTGCTTGAACAGCCAGATGGTGAGGATGGTGAGGGTGAGGAGCAGGATGAAGATGAGCAGATCCGCGCTGTCCTGCCGGTGGCTCTCCTCAGCCTTCTTCTCTGTAACGATGTTCTCCATGGCACTGTCCTGCCTCGTAGATGAAGTTGCTCGGCAGACACTGATGCACACAGACAGGCTCACCAGCAGCAGCAGCCACAGCGTCCTCGCCGCCCTCCGAGCACTGTTGACAGTCACTTTAAACACCATTTCGGCTTTTCGGGCGCTCAAACGCTGCAGCGTCGCTGGAGATAAAAACAAACTTTGTGCAAATATCCTCAAACTGAGGGGAGTAGACAGCAGAAAGACGACAGAGAAACCAACGCCGGCCCGGAACTGAAAAGTAATCTTTCCAGAAAGTCTAAAGCTGGATTTCGCTGTAAAAGCACCGCAGCATGGAGTTGCTGGTTAAAATCAGAAACAAATAACAAATAAATATTAGTGTAACTTAATATATCTACTTTGTACCATTTTAGTTGAGTAAAAATATAAATTTGGACGGTTTTCACTCAGTATCCACATAGCCGGTGATGCTAAAGGTTAACCACGGACTCTTATTGTGAAATCTATGATTTTCATCACTCTGAACCCGAAGTCAGCCCAACCGTCACGACATATTTATTTTCTGTTAAGAAAAAACAAACAAAAAAACAAAACTGCTATATCAAAAATTTGGCTCTTTTGCAAGATTGCAATTTATGTAAGAATAAAATGGATTTAATAATACATGTAAATACTCTTGTTTTCTTCTTTCTCATTTATGGTTTTGTTTTCCCTTCTTAGTTTTATTTTGCTGAAAAAAAGACAAAATACAAATATTTTTTTTTAAAAACCAGCGAACTATAATTTAAACAAGTTTGCTAGATAGGTGTTTTTACTGTCACTATTATGTTGGGTTTTTTTTTTATTGTCAAAACTCGTTATTGCAACAAGTCTCGCGGTACAAACAAAGAGCTCGAATAAATGTGATGTTCAAGTCTATAGGAAATGATACATTCCCAGTCGGTAAATTTAGTCTAAATCAGTGTTAGTCCCTTATTCGTCAAACCGAGTGCAAAGAGCTTCACATATACATTGCAAAGTTTTTGCTTTGTTCATATTATACATTCATGGGTTTTAATTTAACTATAAAGCATGCAATGAGTGAGTCGTATGTCCATGGTACTGAAAAGTGATAAAAGCAAAATTTCCGAGGATGACTCGAACGTAGCAAAAGCCCATACAGTCGTCATCGCGTTTTCTTTTCAGTCGTTGCTGTGCTTTGTGCGGCTAAGCGTTGTCGATTTTTAATCTCAAAGGTTACGTTTACTTGTGCCATTGTGGCTGTGATTTTTATCATTTAACTTTATTTATACGGCCGCACGGTCGATACTACAAAAGCCGACATGACATCAAAATTGAAAGGTACGTTTAAACCCCCTACGATTACTTTAGCATGTTATGCTAACGATAGCGGTCTGTTAGCACCCCGTCCTGTAACGTTAGTTTACCTTGTTGCCTCTGCTAGTACATTTATATTACAATGGTCTGATATAACAAGAGCACAAGAATTGCAAGCTGGGAACAACACATTTTTACACTTTACGTTTTGTAGCGGGTTTTATCCCTGTTGTGTGTAGCATCATACAAAAGTGACTACAATGCACTTTACCGTAATACTATTAGCTTACCGTTATCTTCACATAAACTGTGCAAAACAATTTCAGTTAGCTGTATTCACCTATTATTTGCTCAAACGTAAAGTTACACGTAATATCACTTGCTAATAGGTATAGTTCTTAGCACACTTACTTAGCTGGTACTGTTCACGCACTTGCATCTTGTCATCAAAACACAGTGGTCATTTATTTAGCCACACTAATATATATCCAACTAAATGTGTGTTAACCAGCGTTTTTTGAAATAATAATACTTTCAATACTAATGAGAGTTGTCATGATATCTTTTGCTGTCTTGCATATAGTGACTGACTGGAGAGAAGGTTTAGTTTCGCTCTTTACGCTCTTTTGTGTTCCAATAGTACAACAAACTTAATATGTACCAAGAACATGTGTGATGGACCTCTATTAGCTCCAAACAGGCCGAAAAACATATCAACTTTAATGTTAGGCAGAATCACGATAGACTGAGCTGTATAGTCACCTAAGTTAAACATCAGTCTGCTCCTAGTGGACTGTGTACATTGTAATTTCATAAATGCAGAGTAAGCAACAAGGAAAATATTTTACCTTTTTATTGATGGCAATGTGTTTTAATTCTAGTTGGGAAAGTCGGCTCCAAGAATAAGGAGGATGCTCCTTACGAGTTGGAGAGCCAGTTTATCCTGAGGCTTCCTTCGGTGAGACTGTTACACTTGATTATTTCAATGAAATTCAATTTGACCATTAGCTAAAAATGATGTGGATTCATATTTATTTTTTCTTTTACAGGAGTACGCCTCAACAGTGAGAAGAATTGCGCAGTCGAGCAGTATGAACATGAAAGACAGACTCACCATCGAGTTGCACCGTAAGCTGCTCTATCAGCAGTCACAGCACTGTTGTCAAGTGTGACCCCATTGTTCACGCACTGATTTAATTAGTCTTAAACAATGGTCTCAAATACTCTACATTGTTGTCTATTTACAGTGAAGTCCAGAATTTCTAACCTTGGGAGTATAGATATTTCTAAAGTAAAAACACTTTAGTTGTCAGAGTTTGTTATTAGGAATGCACTGATAGCTGCATGTAACTCTTTCTCAAATGATAAACTCTGACATTCTTTTAACTATAAATATTTAGCCAGTTGGAAATTGCAGTTTTGTGATTTTCAATATTTTTTTTCAGACTATATTACTAAGTACAACTGTCAGTTTGACAACATAATTGAAGACTCACTGTAGCGTGACTCCAGTGTCCTAATGGCAGTGGTTACTGGAATCTTATCCACAACATCCCTTTAATCAATATTTTGTGCCGTTTTTTTCTACTTGTTCTTAGCTGACGGTCGTCATGGCATAGTGAGAGTAGACCGTGTCCCTTTGGCCTGCAAGCTGGTGGATCTGCCTTGTATGATTGAGTCTCTCAAAACAGTGGACAAGAAGACGTTTTACAAGACTGCTGATGTCTGCCAGGTAAACCACTGCAGTAATCAGTAATCTTCATTGGCTAGAATATTGATTGTTCATTTTGGCAGGTAAAGCAGCACTGTGGCATTAAGGTACTTTAGGATATTAATTGTAAATAGGAGTACATTTTACATTTACAACGTTTTCATTAAAAATGTCTCTGCCTTTTTCTTATTTACGACACAGTTGTACAGCATTGTAGAGATTGTAAAGCACAATAATTTATTTACCATTAATTCTTCACATCCATGGTTTAGATGCTGGTATGTACACTAGATGGAGACCTTTACCCTCCTTTGGAGGAGCCAACTGGCACCGACCCCAAGAGCAAAAAGAAGGACAAAGACAAGGACAAGAAATTTGTTTGGAATCACGGCAGTAAGTAGATAAATATGTACACACAACAGCTTTTAGTGCTCTTTGTGCTGAAAACTTGACCCATCAGTTATTCGGGGAGCTCAGTCTGCCCTCCAAGGCTGATTGACTGATTTTGACTTCACTAATCCTATTGTTTTGGTCTTCAGTCACCTGCCCTCTGAAGAACACACGCAAGAGAAGATTTCGGAAGACTGCAAAAAAGAAGGTTTTTGACATTTTCATTCTCCCTCCAGTGCTCCCCTCCCATTTTTCTGCCATCTATTTAGCCTCCTGTTTGATGATCCATCTTATTCCCAGGCTATCTTCCAACAAGACATTTACATTTCATAAAACAGGAACTGTGGTGAAAGTGAAAACTAAGATTTACATATAAATAAAGCTTTTCCATCTTGGTTTGCCCCAAAGGCATGCAAAAAAAGCAATTTCACTATTGCTTTGATCAAAGTGAAAGCGAGTGAGCTTGAGCACTACACTTCTACTTTGTCTTCTGAATAAATCTTCCTGAAGGTGCCGAGCCGAGCCATATTGATTTGGCCCCTTCTGTTTTTAATCGCTAATGTGCTTCCTGGCAGGCGGCCAGCTGCTACCTTTGTGTGTGTGGGTGAGAGAGAGACTGAGGAAGAGGGCGAGAGAGATGCTGCTAACACTACAAGTAACCCGATCTCTCTCTCTCTCTCTTGCAGTACATTGAATCTCCTGATGTGGAAAAGGAAGTGAAGAGATTGCTGAGCACAGATGCTGAGGCTGTCAGTGTTCGTATCCTTTTAGAGACCTGCAAGTATTCTGCACATCCACCTTGAAAATCGCCAAAACTAGTACCACTGTACATAACCAAGCACAATAGTGGTGGTTATTCTGTTCACCCAGAAAAACACTACTGGTTCAGAAAAGAAATGCAATGTAATATAGATTTTACTGGGAATTATTTGTAATGTCACATCTAACTTTTAGCCATGACTTAAGTTTTCAAGATGCATCAAATTGTTTGTACTATTTTATTTTTTTTTAATTATTACTATTAACACATATAACAACATTCACATATCCAAATTACATTCAAAACGGGTTGAACCGAGGCCCAACCAGGTGTCCGCTTGGCTCACCTCTCTTGACTCTTTGTGCCCTTGTGCAAGAGATGCACTGTGGAAAGAAGCTATTAGTGCTCTAATGAAACTCTAAACTTGCCTGACAGAATAAGAGCACAGCAGGGCTTCTTTGAGTGGCTGCTTGCTGTGTGTTAATTGAGATGGACTGTTCATTATCATTGCTTAGTTGGTCACAGTGAAACTAGATTCTAATTATAGTTTTTATGCTTGTATACCACAGTAGATATATACATGACACACTAATGAATACTAAGACTCCTGTGGAGTATCATCTGGATTTTACCTTCAAAGTCTACTTCAAAGAAGAGTTTTTTTTTTTTTTTTTTAAAGAGGACAAGTCTTTGAGTGTTGGACCTTTGAAGGTTGAATTGAATCTACAGAAAGTTTGCTAGCCTTAACCCATGATGTTCAGGATGGGAAATTATAGCAGAGGATGAGTCTAAAGAAGCAGATCAACACGGTTCTCTGGCCAACCTGGACTCCTCACCTGGCACCTCAGGACACAAGATGGGCCATGGCTCCTCTGGTAAATACAGCTTTCTTAGTAAATCATGGGGAATAAGATGGGGTGCAGTGCTTCAGAGTGCGACCAGAAATCTGCAAAGTACGACTAAAGTTTTCATGGGTCGAGTTGGTGCACCTGACATTTAGCACGTTGTGTGCATCTTTGGGCTGGCAGCACACGTAGGTAAAATCACTTACATTAGAACACCTTCTTTCCCTTTTTTCAAACAAATTTTTGGTTGAACACTTATCTTGAGTTGCTGAGTGTGGCTAGAGGCTTCTCTGTGCTCAGCCAACTAGTAGCATCATCTGATGCATCAGAGACTTTCAGGGAAAATCAGTACATTGTAGAATCTACTACCAGTCTGCTTGTGAGATGTTTATGGTACATCATCTTCAGAAAAACAACCAGAGTTACACTTTTCCCCTCTAAACTGCATAAGTCTTTGCATGTACATTAGTTAAGTCGTGCCACGCGCCAGCTCAAGTAAATTCTCAGTCTGTGGAAATCACTGAGGTGTATTGAAACAGCTGATGTATGCGTTGCATTTATAATGTAGCTGAAGAAGAGCTACTGTTTTCAAACTTTATGTCCCAGATCATTCTTATGGCAAAGAACAGGTTAAATGTAGAAGACATTTATCTGCACTTTTTTTTTCTGTTTACAATCATTTACTTAATGTATTAAGAGCTTTGTGCTTGTTCAATCCGTCCTGGTTTAAGTCCTATCAGACCACAGCTCTAAAATATTCAGTTTGTCGGTAGACTGTAGCCTCAGTGACCTAGATCGAACCCAAGCAAGTGCTCTAAATCTTTGCCGTTTCCATCTTTGTGTCCATGTTAATAACACTAATGTGCTTTCCGCATGGCCAGCCCAGCGAGATGAACTCAGGGAGATCTTCAACGACATCAGCAGCTCCAGTGAGGATGAGGAGGATGAAGGAGACCGGCATGAGGACGAGGACCTGAATATCATGGATACAGAGGATGATCTGGTCCGACAGCTCCAAGACAAACTCAACGAGTCTGATTCTGCACAGCATGAAAGTGACCGAAACAACCAGATAGGTGAGAGGAGATCAACTTGTTTATACACATCCATAAGATAACTTTCCAGGTTTTAATTAACATTAATAATTATATGACAAGCTTGTTTAAATATGAAAAAAGCCTGGTTCGGTCTTCTCAAATGTGAAGATTGTTTTAGGGCAAAACAAAGTTGCTTTCAGCCTTCGGAACATGCAAATGCCATTTTCCACCATTGTCATTTTACAGAAAATAAACAATGAATCGATTACTTAAAAATAAATAATCATCACATTAATCAACATTATATCCGATTTGTTGTTGTCAAAAACACATTTAAAATTGTTACCAGACATTGGCAGTTTACATTCTAAAAATTTAGATGCAACATGCACATATGGATATGTGATGATAGGAGTTTTAGATGTATGTCCATGTGGTGGGAGGTACATGTTTATATACATCTGCTCCAAGGCTACTTTGACATTAATACGTTTACATTTTAAGAATGTTTTGAAACAGAAACAATCTCTGTCCAGATGAGCATTTGTGCATACTAACGTGCCTAAAATCACATGACCGTTCACGTACACTGGGTATGCAGGTGTCTGTATAAACATGAAGCAGGGGGTTGGTTGCTTCATTGCAGAAATCTAAGCGTGATGAATCGGGGAACAACATCTATTGACAGTTTAGAAAGTAAACAGGGTGTCATAACTTCTTAAAGTCTGAGTTTCTACCCTTACAAGGCTAGAATGCAACCCTGGAATTTTTAAACTAAACCAGGGTCAGCACCATTTGCAAAAGTCATTGTTTCAGGGATCCCAAAATGCTTGACTGGTGTAGACGCAACAGAAGTTGCATTTTACTTTCAAACTTATTAGCGTGGATGAAGCCAAAATTGAGCTTGAGCTCTTCTTTAGGCCGTGAGTGCGTATGTATGTGTGTGTGTGTGTATGTGTCTGTGTGTGTGCATATGCCGAGGTGAATGAATTAAGTGCCGCATAAGAATTATGCAATATTTCATGCTGTGCTTGCAATTTGCACCTTACAGTGAATGCTGATTCTCTCTGCCGACTTACACTGTATACCAACAGTCAGATCCCAGGAAGATTAGCTTATTGTCATGGCTTTCAGCTAATGGGGATCCTTTAAATAAACAAACACGTACTAGCAGGCGTTAATTTTTCATTCTTCGGGGTAACAGCGAAAAACTTGGACTTCACACAGTCCGATATCAAATTAAATCCAACTGCCCTCAGATACTTGTCAAAGCAGAGGCCAAAATAACCTCAGCCAGGTGTCTGGACTTATAATCAGAGCTGAGTTTTCTAGGTCAGACATCACACACACTCAAACAAATGGCCCTGCTTTCACATAAATACACATGCTGAGCTCTCGCCCACAGAGCTGCACACAATGCCAGCTCTCAACTCTCCTCCTCAACTAACCAGTCTGACAGGTGTTGTGGCTCAGCGTGCATCTCAGACAGCTGTCCAGTCTGACAGCACAATCCCTCCTTATCTACATACATAGAGCTGTCAGTCAGCAACACGACTGGTCAGCTCCACTGTAGCATCCCAGCAGAGCCTTTTGCAATATGTCGGAGTCAGGCTGTGCATGTCTCTGGCAGCTGTGCAAAGCTGTAATAAATGAGTCCGCAGGGACTCCTCCCCGCTTGATTTTGCATATTACAAGGCTATATAAAAGAACTGAGAGCCAGTGGGAGGGAACACTGAATGGGTGGTTGATAGCTGAAGATGGTGGAGCCACAGGTTGTTGTGAGATACTACCAGTTGGGCTGAATTTAATGAGAACTCTGTGTGGAGTCCTGAGCAGACTGATTTAGTTGTGCCTTTTAGATCTTCGTCCTGCTGACACATGTCCTTGTAAATGGACTGATCGTTCCTATTAACTGTAATTTATCAAAATTAAATTGAGGCATCCTTATGGCTCCTGTTGTGTCACCATGGTGTTGTACTTGGGGTCAGCTGAAGTGCTTTTTCTTTTCTTTTGGGCCGATACCAATTATTAGTAATCGGGGAGACTGAGAACTGATATTTGGAAGCAACATACATTTGCAGCAAAAATTAACACCATCACCACATAAAACTTAACTGAAATGACTGTTTTTCATTCAGACAAAAGAGAGCGTTTCAGTTGTGACTACAGTTACAAAGAGGTGACTGCATCAGAGCTAAAATAGAAATTTGAATTTCAGTTTATTGCGTTGGTGATCAGGTAGAAAGTAATACTGCTGAATATTGGATTCTATAATTGGCCAAGCACATAATTGGTCAACCCCTCCTTCTTTAGTGTAGCGTTGCTGTCAAATTATGTCTCATCATCATCTCTCTCCAAGCTTTTCTGTCCAGTCTTCACTGCACAAGGAAACATAATTGACATAAATGTTTTCTGAGTGTTCTTATGTCATTCCTAACACGTGAACCTCCTGCTGTTTCCTGCAGTTATGGAATATCAGGTGCAGATCAACAACGTTAAGGCAAAGCTTCAGGAAACCCGCGCCCGAAAGAAACAGCAGGAGGAGCTCATCATGAAAGTGGAAAACCAGGCCCTCAAAGTAAGCGTTGAGCACACACACTTTTTCACACTGTCAGTTAGAAACTAGGTGTGCATGTACAGAAACATAAACAAGAACATGCAGATGAGCTCGGAGGCAAAAGTGATGTGAAAATCTGAAAAACAGCTGATTACACACATTGTTGGTGGCAATATTTTGTTTTGTTTCTTTTTTTTTTTGTATTTTAAAACTTTAAATATTACATCTCTCCTGCCAGCCATTTACTGTATAAGCATTGGTGTGGACCAGAAATGGCATGAACATTCGTTCTTCTGCCCAGCACTCTTTAGTGGAGATTTTACAAGGAGGGAAACATGAGCAGACATGGCCCTTTTTACGTTGCCATTTAGAGCTCTCATTGCCCGGTGTTTTGGGACCGTCAAAGCCCCATCTCTAGTCGTTATTATCACAGTCGCAAGGAAAAGGTCAGCTGTCTCTGACTGGCATTCCAAGTGGCCTTTCTGTCAGACGGGAGATAGTGACACGAGAAGCCCAGGCAGACACACATTTAAAGCCATCACAATTTAATGAGCCTCAGCATGTCGACTAGGAACAAATCTTGTTTGTCTCTCTCCTCTCACAGAACCGCTTCCAAGCCTTGTTGGATGAGATTATTCAGCAGGAGGAGCGAGAAATGGAGCAGGTAAGAACCTTTCTTGTAAAAAGCTAAGAATCAGTGCTTGCTGTGAGCTTCCTGCAGCTTTCAGCACTTTGCATGAACTTACCTCGCATGAATGTCAAATGCAATGTTGCAGATCGCTTTGTGCCTTCTGTTCTCTTTAAGCCCAACAGGTTTCATGCCTAATAGCTCAAATAGTTCAAATCCAATCAAGTGAAATTTAATTTGTCAGCAGTCTTTTTTGCAACGATGGCATAGTGGCCACCCACTGTCTTGGGTCGTTGTTTGTATTGACAAATGAAGGCTGCAAATTAATGTGAATAGACATGTTAATCATCATCCACTTACCCTCCAATTACACCCTGGGGCTGTTGGGCATCAATCACGCCTTCTATTTTCTGCTCCAACAGCTGGCCTCCCTGCAGGAGCAGCTGGACTCACTGATAGAGAAGTGACCACCAGGGGGCAGTCTCACGTCATCTTCAGCCACGCATCACCGAGACCAAGAGAACAGCCTTCATCCAGGGAGGAGGGAGTCTTTATTAGAGGACTTCCTGTGCCGTTTTTATATGTTTCACCTACAGCAGTGCACACACCTTCCTTCAGTACCTACAGTTCATATTTTTTTTATTAAGCTGAGAAAAGTTATTATTAGCTACTGTGTGATTCAACTGTCGGGTTTGCTTCTATCTGTTTTGCTTTTCTTTTTCCTGCTATAGCTAAATCTCAGCCCTCTTATACTCACATTTTTGTGTATTTCATTACTTGTTTGAAAAGAGAATTACAGAACTGTCAAAGCATTTGACACTCACCCAATTGTGTTTGTGCATCTTTTTACATATTCTTCTGGTGGAACAAGTTCTTCACTTAGTTAAGATACAACTGACAGTATATAGCAGTTTGTGTCTTTGTTACTACTTTGTAGTTTAATCAATGTTCTGTTCACTGAACTAAGTGAATCTAAAGCAGTGATTCTCAAGCAGTGGTAATGGAACCCCAGGATCCACATAACCTGCAAGTATGTGAAGAGATTACCTCTACTTTCAAAACAGAAATTAGAATTTAATTAAAGCATTGAGTGCACCTAAACATGTTTGAGCAGTTAGTAGAAGAAATAGATAAGCAGTAGAAATAGACAGTCAAAACTAACACATGAATAATTGCAGTCGGTACGTAATGATGAAAGAGTGAATACATGGTTGAAATAGCTACAGTTTTAGAAAACAGTTGCCACTGATTGCTAAACATAAAGGATCAACAGTTGAAACAACTGAAAGCTGGAGGTACTGGATAGGTGCTAAATATATAGCTTAAACTGATTAAGTAGCTCTGACCAAACTGACCTAAATATTGACAGTTCAGCTGGTTAAAAAAAACAAACACTAACACAGTGACTTTTATATAATTACATGTTAAATAAGATGCTTTTTAAAATGAGTTAAACTGAGCGTGTTTTGATCATGAGAGGTGTTGATGAAGGGGCTCTTGAGTCCGTCTGACAGGTCTGTGGGGGGTACGTCAGATGAAAAAGGTTGGGAACCACTGATCTGAACCATGGGAGGACACGTTGCTTCCTATCAGGTCATCAAAATTGTGCTTTCCTTATTCAACTTGTATTGACATTTTCAGGCAAAAAAAAAGGTTGATGGGGCGTCATTATACTTGAGCAAGAAAGGGGTCTCAGTGATGTGTTATGGAAGTTTTAACATGAAAATCTGTTGTGTGCTTTTGGTTTCCATCCATCCAT